CAGCCACTGTTGAAACTGATCAGTTTCAGCAGCGGCTGAATCTGGACGCCAGTTCCGACTTACATACAGATTCAAGTTAAGAACAAACCTACAGTCCCTATCTTGTACGTAACCCGGGGACTACCTGTAATACAAATGTGCTTGTACAATGCCTAGCATAACAGGATTCCAGGGCTATGGTAATAAATTAATAAATACAAATATTTAATAAATATATAACTAATAACTAATAACAGTTAATCTGGACGCCAGTTCCGACTTACATACAGATTCAAGTTAAGAACAAACCTACAGTCCCTATCTTGTACGTAACCCGGGGACTACCTGTAATACAAATGTGCTTGTACAATGCCTAGCATAACAGGATTCCAGGGCTATGGTAATAAATTAATAAATACAAATATTTAATAAATATATAACTAATAACTAATAACAGTTAATAATAAAATTACTAAATTAATTCATTCAAGGGAGTGTATGGGGTTTCATGGTACTTCTGTAATGGGGTAGTACTTCTAAAGGAGGGCTTGTCGCACTTCTTCGGGAGTGGCCCATTCTTTATTGATTTTTACCCAGCTCTCACCTGTGGCTCCATGTAGTTGCTTTGCATGCAGCAGCAGCCAAACCCCGTGCAATGGCTTTCACAGGCCGGCTAAACCAGGTGAGGGTAGCCGATGGGATTGAAACCCTCGGTGAGCTAGGGACTTGCTCATCCCAGCATGCGAAGACTGCTTCGATGGATCAGGCGGAGGAAATTTTTATGATTCAATGGCTGAGAAGGCATTGCAGCAGCACATTATGGAGTGCATGGGGCATGTCAGAGCATTTAAGGTGATATGGCCATCCAATGCAGCCGAGGCAGTCTCCAGAAGTAACGATTTTTTTTCATGTCACTGGATTCTGACTTCTGAGTGGGATTGTCTTTGTGCAAAGGCTTTCCTACTATAATAATATTTTTCACGCACAGGTTATGTTGTGCAAAAAAAGCAAGTTGGTAATGGGAGCATGGAATGTCTGTACGCTCATGGACAGTGAGGACACAGTAAGACCTCATTGGAGACATAGAGCTGTGTTCTCTCCTGTCCTGACAACTGGTGTCCCATGCCCTATTTGTACCCGCATGTGTGCTTTGACTTTTGGGCTCCGGAGCCACATGCGTTTCCATAAATGAAACTCACAACATGTCTTCCTCGGCTCCCGAGAGACAACTAACAAAACAACAACAAATTCATTCAAACAGAAAAAATCCAGAATCCACCTGGTATATTTATACACTAGAAGATTTACCCGGTGTTACTTAAGTCCTTACGTCAAATAAGTTTTGTTTTTCTTTATTTAAGTCATTGCTCTGAGGTGAGGCTGGGGATGAGGGGTTCAGTATGCAGGCTGCCCTGGGGAGAAAGGATAACCCCAACCCTTTCTCACCATAGGAGCTTGAGAAATACTTCTCCATAGTCACTGTAGCTGGCACGATCGGGGAAGGGGTGCATGTCCCCCAGCTGGGATTCACAGACAGACAGACAGACCCACAGATGCACATTTCTAAAATAGATATAGGTTGGACCTCCCTGGTTTGGCATCTTTGGGACCTGACTGGTCTCAGATAATGGATTTTGCCAGAGTAGGGGAGGTCATTTCTGGCCTCCCTGCTGCCAGCCCCACCCCCTGTCTTGCCACCCCACCAGGCTTCCCAGCTCCTGGCCTCCTCACAGCCCAGCTGAGCTGCATACTGGGCGTCCCGGCTCCCAGCCCTCTTCTTCCCCCGGCAGCATGGCAGCTTCCCAAGTCCCCGCCTCTCGAGCTGCCCAGCTAGGCCCTGCGCTGGGCTCCTGCTTCCCTCCTGCACTGTGCCAGGCTCTGCCCCTCCCACCCCCCTTTCACACACAAACACCCTGCAGCTCGCCAGGACTCTTTGATCCTGGAACATCTGTGGTTGTGCCAGACCATGGATGTTGCCAGACCAGAGAGTCCCGGTTTATAGAGGTGCAACCTATAGTAAGATGTTTATAAAAATGATCCTAAACCTCACTTTAGTCAAGTATAATGACCTAAAGATTCCAAGATGCCTAGTGATTTTGGATACCTCAATTCTTGTGTGCCTAGTGGGCACTTCAGAGAATGCTGCCTGCCTGCCCTCCCAAAGGGGCTCGTGGCTTTCTAGCTCTCCTGTCACCTCTCCCCACAGCTTGACATAAAGATGCTCCAGAAAGAAATGATGTGTTGGCCTTCAGCCCTCAGCACTGCCTTGGTTACTCTTGGAGGGTATGCATCTGACGATATGTCATGCATCTGATGAAGTATATCTTTGCCCATGAAAGCTTATGTTCCAATAAATCTGTTAGTCTATAAGGTGCCACAGGACTCCTCATTCTTGGAGGGTTATTTCCATTCTCATCAGCACAAGGAATGGCTCCATATTTGGAAGTGGGCAATGATATAGGCATCAGCTTGAAACACCATGGACTTGATTTAAAAAAACAGTGGGTCCCCTTACTCCAGCTGAATGAGATGCAGGCAAACGTGAGAAAGTCCATTTTGACTTCAGAAGCATTAGTATTCTACCCAAATCATGAGTCTAAGAGCTTATGCAAACAGGGCAGAAACATGGTGCATGGCACATATATAGCCAATCAAAACAGCTTGACGTGC